TGTAAATGGTGTACCTTCATTTAATTCACCAATGAAATATTGTTTAAATATAAGAAAGTCTTCCCATCCTTTGAAACTTTCTTCTAACACTTATCTATCAAGTTCTATCAGTTTATTCTTTTAAACTTAACTAAGTAAAATGACAGCTTAGTCATTTGTATGGTCCATTTTAATAAGTAATCCTTTCTTCTGATATTCCTTCCACATTTACTTTGAATTGACTCCAAAATCATTAGAGTTCATTAACTAATTTAATCTTTGTTTTGTTAAAAGAGGATTAAATATTAAGATTTTCCCAATCATTTAAATCCACAAAAAATGATTTATCCAATTTTTTGAATTTTTCACCAGATCATCATATATTAACTAAATTTGTAAAATTATTTCATTTAGTATTAGTTATTTTTCATTTCTAAAAAAATCTATAATTTCCCATTATAACATGTCTATTTAAAAATACACTTCATATTGTTTTCGATTGTTTTTAATTTTATAAATGTTGTGCATTTAGTGGACTACCTTAAATAAAAATTTAAGTAATTCTGCATTAGGTTTCATTTGTATTAACGAATCAAATATACCACTTACAAATCCTTTTACAATATCTTACCTTTCTTTACTATTATTTGGAACTATTTCGAAAGAAGTTTTTGTTAAGAAAAGATAAACTTCCATTTAAATTTAAATCAAATCATTCTTCTCTATTTCTATATATTATTTTAAGTCATCAGAAATGTCTAAAAATTCCTTTTATAAATCAAAATTCATAATTCTATCGCTATTCATTACATGAAAACTAAAGATCACTTTGGATAGAGATGCTGTAATCTATAAGATATACAAACATTTAAACTAGTCTGTTCTAATATAGATTTAACAACTTTTCAATAATTTTCGGATACCCTCTACAATCAGGTTGTATGATTTCATGATATTTTAGGGATTCTTATTGAGTTTGTATATGTTTTCCTCTTAAAAAATAAACCATTATATGGCTATCATTATTTCTTAAGATTCTATTGAATTGATTGCAACGTCAGCTTTAGCACAAATTATTTCAACAAAAGAACTAAATTTGGTAATGAAATTGTCTATATCTTAAATATCTGACTGTAAGTTTTCATATGTTCTTGGATTCATTCTAAAAGATCCACAACCACCTCCCCGTAATGAAGATATTTTTGTATTGACTAAGGATAACATTTTTTTTATAAAATTTAAAATAAAAATCCATACCGGTATAAAAATGTATATAAACTTATATTAATTAATAATTAATTATATTATTATAAGGAATGATAAAAATTTCGTATTTTAAAATGCAATTAATAAATCAAACATGTTCCATAAATTTTACTTAATTTATTTTTCTAACCTCGAATAATGCTAAAGTCAATAGCATATACTCGGCTAAGAAAATCATACTCTATTTTCGAAGTGTTGTTTTGAGTTATTATTTTAGAATATTATGCTAGCTTAGCCCATTCTCAAAATTTGAGTTAATAATTATTTGAATTTACACATTAATATCATTGATAGTGTTGATGCTTTTTGATTTTATCATTCTAGGCTTAAAGGTTTAGGCTTGTCAATTTTCAGGCTTAAAAACTGGGTTTAAATGATCCTTCTAACCCAGGAAAAGGTATGAATTTGAAATCCATCTTTACATCTTGTCTATATTTCATATATCTACCTTCTTTCGAAAAATTTAAGAAAGAATGATGAATCCACAACAATTCCAGAAGTTGGAGGAGTGTTAACAATGTCTGAACAATGAAGCGTTATTCGATTATAAAGAACATCCACCTTAAGAATATGATGATTTTCATTCATTTGGGTACTCCATTATGAGATAATAAACAAAAATTAAAATTTTAGAGAAAAGATGATATTTGATAAAATCATTTCACATGTTTATTTTCCAGGAGCAGTTTACATTTCAAATTTGATAATTCAGATTGTAAGCAGATTATAGTAATTTTGATGTGGTTCTGTGAATTGACTAAACATCAGATTTAATTCAGTTTCTTAATGCTGCCAGTGTTTTTTTTTTTAATAACAATTTCGCCATATTAACAGTCTTTTATTAAGGAAAAACTTATAAAAATCAAAGATATTTATGATTATTTTTTAGTTATTAATTGATTTAGAATTTGATCTTTAATTTTCATTAAGACTTGCCAGAATGAATTGTGAATAATGAAAAGAAAGACTTAGATGGATTTGATGGGAGATGAAATTCAAAATGGGCAAAAAAATTTTTAATATAAGTTTTAAGTAATATTAACAAATTTTTCTATTCAAAACATTTTGCATAATTTATCCTTCTCTTTTTACCTAAATAATTAATTGATAA